TGGCGGTAGGGGGAGTTGCTTAGATGCCTGGTCCGGCAATGAAGCCTCCAACCGGGATCTGCAGGAACTTACCTTAAACCTCTGTCTCTGCTCTGGATGACTCCACAAATGCTGCCCTGGATTCCACCGACAAAAGGACTGGGACCTGCCTCAACTTCCCTCTAACTTATGCCTCCACTCCGGACTCCGCCCACTCTCCAGTCTCCACATGGACTTCTAGCCCCAGGGTCACTCCTGGGTCCTACTGCCCACCTGCAGCTAGCCAGCACATCTCTCCCTCTTCATCTGTCCACCCTCACAATACACCTTACCCCTCCACCTCTCCTCCCTCCTGTCTGCCTCATCTCTCTCACACTCCTCCTGCATCCCATCCTCCATCCCACTACCCAGCCTACTACCCTCCCACTCTCCTTTCCCTCCCACAACTACTACCCCCACTGCATATGCCCAACCCTCACCCATCACATGTTATCACTCTTCCCCCTCCCCTCTTCAGCCTCCTTAAGACCCCTCCAAAACCCAACTCCTGATCCTTGGTGCATATTCACCAACCCCCTGACCTCGAACCCTCTGTGGCCAAATGGTCTGCCCTCAGTAAAGGGCTCATGTTCATGCTCCTCCGACCCCACCTCAATGAGTTCCGTGATCTGCACCTCCTGCTACCCCCACATCCAGACCTGAAGAAGGGTAATACCCAAAATGTTGATTTCTCCTTTCCTCCAGAGGTTGCCTGGCTTGCTGTGTTCTTCCAGCTTCCTGTTTGTCTATCTTGGATTCCAGCATCTGCAGTTTTTTGTCTCAAACCACAAATATGAGCAGCTGTAAAGGGTGCAGTTTTCTAACACCCAGTCATTAGCACTAAAGTACTTCATTAAACGGCACAGCACATTCAAATGAGCACTCAGAATTTATGTCCCCATATTGGGATTAACTGCAAGTTGTAATTTCTTTCTTCCTTTCATTGTCAGGAAGCCTTCCCTCCATTATTGCATTGTCATTACAATGGAGGCTACTATATTTCAGGAGAATTGCTGAACTACAACCTGGTGACAACACCCATGAACTTCCCACTGTGGAACTCCACTTTTATGTGATTTATATGCTGGGCGGAGAAGAACAGCTGACAGCTCTGTGAAGCGGGAAAAAAAGACTGGCAGTACTGGGGAAAACCTTATCATCATGGAACAACTCATTCAGCAGAATCTGTTGATGGAAGAAAAGCTTTGCAAGACCTTTCCCTGGAGCTCTGTCAGAGGAGGCTGCACTTCAATCATGAATTACATAGAATGTACCCTAGAGAAACTGGCTTAAGGGGCCAACCAGAACCTACTGGTGTTTATGCAACACATGAGCATCCTTCATCCAAGACTATCAGCATATCTTTTTATTACTTTGTTATCTTTGTGTAGCAAACCCTTGAGTCCATCTTTCAGAGAAACTCTGTTTACTGTTGCTTTCAGATCTAAAACCAAGGTCTGCAGCACTGTCAGCTCTCATCATGTGCAAATAATGTCAGTAGCACTGAACCTGCATGCTCATTCCAGTGAAGCATGTAGGGGCTTTTGTTACATCAGCCAATTATCATGTCACCATTGTCCTCTTAACCATGGCAGCTCAATTTACACAGATTTACGTATCATCTTCTTGCACAGGCATCTAAGTAGGTCTTGAAACCGTTCGATTTTCAAGGGCTGCTGATTGCATCCATTGCAACATTGCACTCATTTTGTGTCCGTGACACAAGCTTGGGCATGGGAGAATGGGTCATAAAATTGGTGGAATTCCTGGGATGCCAATTAATGGCCACTTAAGGGCCTCTTCCATGATTGGACCTGTTGCTGTCTCAGAAGTGCACCCAGTAAAACCTCTGGGCTCCCTGTGAGCTTGGGGTGGGGTCTGTCATGATCAGGCACCCTTTGTCACACAACAGACTCCCTTTGGCAAGGACTACTGCTGCTGGAAGACCCTTCCTCCACTGACACATTAGTTCTGCCATAAGTTCACTGATCCCAGGCCCAAACTGCCTTTACTCCAGGCCTCCTTGCAGACTGCTGGACCAGGGACGGCTATGGCCTGATTTGCAGGCTCCAATTTGGAGATGGAATAGCCCATCTGAGAGGGCCCGAAGCCATGATTTCAGGCAACTGATTGCCTGAACAGTATAAAATTTGGTTGTGACTTCCAGGGCTGGGGGAGGTGAGTTCCTCTGGACGCACTGATTGTTGACCTCCAAATATCTTCATATTTATATGTACTGTAAAGTCTATAATTCACCACATTTGCAGTTAATTTCCAACGAGTTTACTTGCATATGAATTCTCAGTGTTCCAGGAGCTACCATGTTATTTCTTTACGTCGCTCAGTCTATCGTCCCAACTTGATTGCAACAGTTGAGGTAAGAGACAAAATGACTGTTGGGTGATAAGGGACAGTCACAGCTCTTGTGACTCCTTTTCATAGGATTACCTGTGCTACAGAAAAGTGATGCAATAAAACATGCCTACAGACATGGATAAGAATTGGGTAAACCCCTCAAAAGTAGTCTTTGGTGCCTGTATAATACCCAGAGTGCATTACAGTGCATGACAACACTGTCCCTCAAATCGTTGTAGTATGGTGTGTATTTTGCGGTTTTGGAATCAGGGATAAAGAATTGATGGCAGAGTGTAATTTATGACCAGGAATTTTGATGATGCCACTGTCAATGCTATAGTACCAACCCATGAAGAATAGGGAGCAGGTATGTTGCCGACGACACTTGAGAAAACCTTCAGTTGAGCATTTTCAAAGACCAATTACTTGGAAATCCCATGAATTCACTTAATTACCTCACGAGGTTCTCCATTCTGCTACATCCAATTATTTTTCTCCTGGTGGGTTTAAGTGTTGCCGTGATCTTTGACTTTTATTTCTCACTGTTTCATGCTCACTGCAAAATACTGAATCAAGTTTGACTTCCATGTTGTAACGCTGGCTGTAAAGGACAACATGTTGCCCAAGAACCCAACTCCCATGTTTGAAAAATCTTCTGGTACGTTCCATAGTGAATTCACAAGTATTGTACTTGAAATAGGGAATTTTATTGATTATGGGGATTGCCATGGTGTCAGAAGGTACAAAATCTATTTTGTTTTATTTCTACATTTGGATGTCGACTTGCCCGAAAAGATCTTCGTAACCCCAGTCTGCCTGCGTGCTTTGTTTTTGATTGTTTTATGCTTCATCTGATCCAGAAAATTTGGTGAGTCTCTTAATCGATTCATCCAGACCTGGTAATTGGTCTTTTGCTTACAATTTTCAAGTTTCAAGCTGAATTGGAAATGAAATCCTGTGCATGCAAGAATTGACTTGTTTCTCAGATGATTGTTTAACACCTGATTTGTTTTTGTTATTCTTTGGGGAAACTCAACTGGGTGGACTGTTCCATATTCTCAAATACCTGTTTTAAAATCGGAGTCTGATAGAGGGGAAAGAGTTATGGGGAATCCTACAACACCAACAAAATATTGGAACTTCTGCTGTGAGAATACAGCACAATGTACAGAATTGTGAAAATCTGTTATTTAAATAACACAGTTGGAACCACATTGATTAGAAATAATGGAAGCTTCTAAGAGCCGTGACCAGAATTGCAGGAAAGATAGATTTCTTTGTATTTGAATAAATACCGTACAAAATAAAATCTTAAGTGTTATTGTTTTTGTCTCTCCACTCTATCGTTTTGAATTAAACTTAATTCTCTTCTAAATACCTATGTTTTATTCCACTAACCTGCTCCATAACTATGCAATCCTGTCTAATTAGGATATCATACTGCCATGTGCACTGGCCATGTGAAAATGGGGCTTTGGTTGAAATATTTTTGTGGTAATGGTCTCCCTTTTCCTTCAAATCAGAACTCAGATGTTTTGAAGGCAAAGGATCACAGGAAAAAAATAAGGAACAGGACACTTCTAATTTTAATTCATCAATTCCAACAATTCATCATTCCGAACAGTCCCATTCTCCAGCCTGGTCATGCAGACTAACTGTGGAAAGGACATTCAACTTTGGCTGGATGTAGTTTATTGAATGATAGCCATCAGGTGCAAGTCACATTAGTATGGTAGACATTATCACAAAGACTGTTGGGAGACCTAGATATAGATCTTCACCTTGCAAGATGCTAAGATGTTCTGCCTAATCCTACTCAAGGCCTTATGACATCATCAGATTGGATGCAACTGAATGCCATCTTCTACATTAACCCTTTCAGAACCATTACCAACAAATACATAACAAATATATCTTTGTTATACCTTAATAGCTTTTTATGGGATGTGTAGTGTTATTGAAGGTAGGATATTTGTCTAATAAGCTAAGAAATGTGAGTTCAAATCCCACATTCACTGAAAATATTATTTGTTTGAGAAATGAAACTTGGAATTATAAGCATAAACATCCAAGTGGAGCTCCACTGTCTTCAGGGAAGGAAAACTATTCACCTGCTCCAGGCTCAGTTGACTCTAGTCGTACACCAGTGTGGTTGACTTTTATTTATGCTCTGAAATTGCTTGAGAGGCCTCTTAGTCGTGGCAACAGGTATGGTAATAAATGCTGGCCTTGTCAATAATGCCCATATCTAAAGAATTAATAAATTAGATACTGTACTTAAATAATGTATATTGAGGCTCAACAGATGGCATTACTTTGGGTTTTAACATTAAGGTCAATCTTATTGCCCCTCCGTACTGGTACCAGTGCTCAATTCTCTCCCATGTTTAGATGGCCAAAGTTAACATAGCGTTCATATTAAACTCTGACCGCAGCACTGCATAATTGTTGTGTGAAATCCATTGATTTGTTCACTAGCGTATTTAGCACCATATTACAGAATTCTGTTTGTTTTTTTAAACTGCAGAAAAGACAGTCAGTTGAATTGTCAATGGCTACAACAGAGAAGTATTGTGCTTTATTTGATTTACTATCCTGAACATTATCATCATTTACTAAACAGACAGCTCAAGGAGGAGGCCATCGGACCCTCCTGTATGGACATGCAGTGTTGCTCAGACATTCCTACAGTGGAATGGTAAGAATGACTTATTTACTGTTTTTATTTATCTCATTCACATCAACAATCCTATTATGGTGATCTAATTTTCACATTCTTAATAAAGTGTATCTAAATAACTTCGTCGAGCCCATCTGCAGGGCACTGCCAGGCCAGGATGCTCTAATGAACTAATGTGATGATGCATAGACTACTTGATATATCCACTGGCATTCTTTGTAGCAGTCAATACTCATATGTTGACGGGGCAATGTAGTAAGAATTCATTTCAAAGCTCATTAAATGTTTTGGTTTACTGAATGCAGAGCATGTTTGCCAAAACCTAATTTACAATAACCAACTTAGATGGACTTTAAATTCCTTTGAAGTGATCATCTGTTTACTACTGTCTTCTCAGTTAAATTATCATCAGTCTGAAATTTTAACCTGCTGCATTTTCTTTCCAAGTATCTCTGTTGTTTGTCCACCTCTCGATCCTCAACAGACAAACTAGCCTTTGACGTTGGATTACAGGAAGATACAACAGGTATGCTGTAAGGGATGTATTATCCCTGTAAATATGCTGACCAAGCTTTCGTTCCTTTCATGTGTCAAAAATTCACCCTTTTTATTTCAGAGCGGCTTACTTGAGTAATAAAGCAAATTTTTTATATATCCGCGATGGAAAGACATGGTAATTGTGAACTATTATTTAGATCAGAAAGGTGCTAAGAGAAATGGAGGAAAAATGAACAGGGGTCAAACAAAAATTGGGTGTCATACAGACCATAATTACCAATTCCCAAATTACCTCTGGAAATTCAATAGCTTCACACCATTCAGCTACTGGAGTAGATGTAGTCATAAGATTATTGTCACCCATTTTATAATAGACTGTTCAGTCAAAAAAAAACAAACAAAAATAGGTTACAGAGTAATTTAAAATTTTGGAACCTTTTTAAAAATAATGGAGCATGCACTGTAAATTTATAAGGATAAGATTTGCATCTGAAATAGTTATATAATTAGCATATTGTATTAAAAGACAGTTGTATTTGTTTCATGAATCTAGTTAGTTTGCAAAAATGGCAGATTGAACATAGAACATAGAACAGTACAGCACAGTTCAGGCCCTTCGGCCCACGATGTTGTGCTGAACTTTTACCCTTAACCTAAGGTCTTTGGGTAAAAGTTTGGCACATCTTGGTATTGGCATCATCTTAGGTCTAAAATTCAGTTTACATACATTTCTATAAATTTTGTGGTACATTGGCAATATTCACAGAAGAAATAGACACAGTACTTTATAAAATGTACAGAGAACTATTTCAAACTTGTTGTTTGTACAGGGGAAGCGTGCTGGTGGACTATACACCCTGCATCTAAACAACGTTCGGAAGGTGAAAAGGTACGGGTGGGAGATGACCTTATCTTAGTCAGCATTTCGTCAGAGCGGTACCTGGTGAGTAATATGTTGCAAATTTCCTGTCTAAATTATTGTAAACAAGTGTTCTCTGATTTATTTTCTGCTAATATAGCCTTATGTGTACTCTTTCATCAAAATAACAAAGCCCACACATTTTCCTCCATTTCTGAACGCAAACCACTTGCATTGTTCACTTTATTTCAAGTCTCTACCTGGAGGTGTGGAATGTCTGATGTATTTATGAACTGTATGGTGCTTTGAAACTCTTGAAAAAAACCATGCTTCCAATGGCAGTGGTAGCTAAGCTCGCAAATAACTGATGTATGTTGTCGTTCTGTATTGTTAGTTGATCATCGTTGGGTAGTGGTACATTAGGCCTCTGAGACTCGAGGTTAAAAAGGAAAAATTGTTTAGGGTTTCCACTCCTGTTAATATCCAGTGGCTGTTACCAGTTGTCAATGTTGCGGTGTTATGTACGGACTTTGAGGCTTGCCTTTAAAGTGACTTATGGTAGAACAGCCTGCACTTGAAGAATGACCATTGATTCAAGGATCCCAAGAGTGATTGATACTTTTAAAAACACATGCTGATTGACTGTAGAAGGAGTGAGTAGGGGTTTGCAGAGGCAGGAGGGGATTAACAAGCAAAGGAGGAAAATTGCTTTGGGCAGTTAATTTGTAATCATGGCCAGAATACTGTACACAGTGGAGAGTGATAAGTTCCCTTTTCATTTTATTTTAATGAAAACTAGATTTCAGTCTGTTAGCTAAATGTGAAAAAAATGCAACATGCTATTTCTTGATACTGAGTAACCTGGAATTCTTGATCAGCATTGTTCCCATTTTTTCATGCATTATAGAGTTACAGAGTTATCTGAAAGATCTGACTATATCTGTGTGTGATCTAGTCTTTCTTTCTTATTGGTACAGCATGGTGGCTTAGTGGTCAGCACTGCTGCCTCACAATGCCAGAGACCTGGGTTCAATTCTATCCTCGGGTGATTGTCTGTGTGGAGTTTGCACATTCTCGCTTTGTCGGCATTGGTTTCCTCCGGGTGCTCTGGTTTCTTCCTACAGTCCAAAGATGTACAGGCTAGGTGGATTGGCCATGCAAAATTGCCCATAGTGTTCAGGGATGTGTAGATTAGGGGGATGGGTCTTGGTGGGATGCTCTAAGGGTCAGTGCGGATTTGTTGGGCCGAAGGGCCTGGTTGCACAATGTAAGGATTCTATGATTCAATGCAGTCATGTTTACTTATCTGTGGAGCTAGAATGCAGTAGGTGAGGTGAGGTGTAGGGAACTTGAATCCTACTTCTGCTCAGAGAAAATGAAAAAGACATTGATTAAACAAACATTAAACTATCTTGCTGCACAAATGATGTATTTATCTTATTCAAATGCTTCCACTGATTGGTAACAATAAAATCTGGAAGCAGATTTTGTATTCTATAATATTTACACACTTGAATGTTGTAAAAATTGTTTTTAAATATCAGTATTTTGTTAAAATGTATCCAAATGTGACCAAGCAGTCTTCAGCTAGTGCAGAACTGATCTTGTTCTCTTGCAGCATTTGTCATATGGCTGTAGCAGTTTACATGTTGATGCCGCATTCCAGCAAACTCTCTGGAGTGTTGCTCCAATTTGCTCTGGAAGTGAAGTAGCACAAGGTAAGATTGTTTGAAAACCCCTGCAGTCACACTGCTGCAGCTTTGCTAGAAGCTTTATACTTTGTCAAAGCACTTTGCATACACATTACAGGAGTGAATAACATCATTCATCTAAGAATTTGGAGAAGCCCATTTCTACATTAGTCTTTTTTGTTACCCAACTTGTGATCCTTTTAAATCTTTCGCTATTTTAATTCTCCTCCAAAAGCTTTGCCTTACAGAATGTAGCCATTCTAGTCAGAGACCAAATCCAGCCACTGTGTATATCTTTATAACTAAACTGACCATGCAAATGTGCAGGGTGTCAGCTTTAAGCAGTGACCCTAATTTTTGCTCCCACCACAAAGAAACATATACAACATTCAAGCACTCGTGTTCTTGAGGAAGCTATGGGGAGGAACTTAAAGAAAAGGCGAGATAGTCCTAGGTCCTACAGCATAATCATGCAGTTACATAGCTAAAACATAGCTAAAAAAATCATGATTAAGCTAAATGTTATTGACCATAATTATAAATTTAATGAGACCAAGCATCAGTAATATGATCACAAATGAAATTTCCTCTAAATATTGTAAGCAGTAGCTAATATACATTGATGATTTAAGAGACTGTAACCCAATATGTCTGTGTAGATTGAATCTTAAATGTTGATATACCAGCTTTCATTTCATACCACCTTCTTGAGTTTTCCATGATGTGCTGCCAGAAATTGAAGCTCTGTATTAGTAGTGCAAAGGTTGTATCTTGGAATTCTTGGCTTTGTTTAATACTTTTTATATACTCAGCACCAGAGAAGTAAATTTATTCGTGAAACATAGCAGGCAGATTATTGAGGTACCTGTGGAGTATTCCCACACATAGTCATAGAGATGTACAGTACGGAAACAGACCCTTTGGTCCAACTCATCCATGCCAACCAGATGTCCTAGATAAATCAAATCCCATTTGCCAGTATTTGGCCAATATCCCTCTAAACCCTTCCTATTCATATACCTATCTAGGTGCCTTTTAGATATTGCAGTTGTACCAGCCTCCACCACCCTCTGCATGAAAAAATTGCCCCTTAGGCCCCTTTTAAAACTTTCCCCTCAAACCTATGTCCTCTACTTTTGGACTCCACCATGCTGGGGAAAAGACCTTGTCTATTTACCCTGTTCATGCCCTTCATAATTTTATAAACCTCTATAAGGTCACCCCTCAGCCTTCAATACTCCAGCGAAAGTAGTCCCAACCTATTCAGCCTCTCCCTAAAGCTCAAACTGTCCAACCCTGGCAACACCCTCATAAATCTTTTCTGAACCCTTTCAAAATTGACAAAATCCTTCCACAGTATTCCAAAAGTGGCCTAGCCAATATCCTGTACAGCCGTAACATGACCTCCCAACTCCCATACTCAATAAAAACCGTTCTGAGGAAGGGTCACCAGACCCGAAACGTTAACTCTGATATTTTCTTTGTAGATGCTTCCAGAGCTGCTGAGCTTTTCCAACAACTTCTGTTTTTGCCCTATATTCAGTGCACTGTCCAATAAAGGCAAGTATACCAAATGCCTTCTTCACTATCCTATCTGCCTCTTTGCCATGTTTGCCATTCCATTTATCCCCGTATTAGGTAGAGAAACCTGAACACTGACATTATTGCTCCTGAGTTCCACAGTTTTAAGTGTTGTTTTCCAAGGTATGCTAAGACTTGGTGCAGATGCTGTTGTATATCTCATATATGATGCAAATTAAGTCTAATTAATCTTGCATGGCATACCCAATATTTTCTGAGCTATTCACTCTGTGCACTGTTTATTCATATTAAACAGTGTTTGTCAGCTCTGTTTTTTCTGACTGAACTTTGATTCTTTAAACTGTGACCAGTCGTGTTTTTGGAGGAGGATATTGCTGCTTCATTTGAGTTTTAAAGCAGCAGTTTCTGATTTATTGCTTGTTTTAGTTTCTTCTGTTTGATATTGTCCTTTAGGAAAGAAAATTACCATATTTACCTGGCCTGCCCTACCTGTGACTTCAGACCTACAGCAATGTGGTTGAGTCCAAAATGCCCTCTGGGCAATTTGTGATGGGCAATAAATGCTGGCCCAGCCAGCGATGTCATCATCCCACAAAGTAGTTTTTAATATTGGAGTGCTTTTGCAATGTCTTTAAGCTATTATTGCAAATCTACATTCTAACTTTATTGCTCAACTTTGGCATTCAGCGCTGTATGGTAATGGCTCTTGTGGATTTGGAGGAGGAAGAAAGATTCAGGCAGAGGGCAAAGGAACAGGTGTGCTATTGCCTCATGTAGCAAACCCACATTTAGAATTAACTCCAGTGTAGCTTTCCAGGTCCACATGTACCTACTGGACATGCGTGAGGGGACATACCTTTGTAGTTCCTCTCTGTGAGTTGAGGTCATAGTAGGGTTATGCCATCCTTGAAGCCTGACCTGTAGGTCAACCAAAGACCAATACCCTCCCTGCTGCAGTGAAAGCCACAACATCATTAAGCAATGACATGACAAGTTCCTTTCAAGCCATTCTGATGACATTTGCCACACTATGCAGAATTAAGATTTCCAGTTTTCTAAGCAGCTTGCAGAAATCTTGCTTGCCATGTGAGAAACTTTGGGGTGGCATGGTGGCACAGTGGTTAGCATTGCTGCCTCATAGTGCCAGGGACCTGGGTTCAATCCCATCCTTGGGTGACTGTCAGTGTGGATTTTGCACATTCTCCCCGTGTCTGCATGGGTTTCCTCCGGACGCTCTGGTTTCCTCCCACAGTCCAAAGATGTGCAGGTTAGGTGGATTGGCCCGTGCTAAACTGCCCATAGTGTCCAGGGGTGCGAAAGTTAGATGGATTAGACATGGGAAATGCAGGGGTACAGGTAAAGGGTGTGGGATGGGTCTGGATGGGATGCTCTTTTGAGGAGTGGTGTGTACTTATTGGGCCAAATGACCTGTTTCCACACTGTAGAAATTCTATGTCCAGCTCCCCAAGGCAAAGAAGTACAGCAATTATTATCTTCTCTTAATATGCAAGGTCACAATGTTTTAATTAGAAAATGTTTTGAACAATAGCATCATATAAATAGGTCATCAAACTCCCATCATTGTGTCAGTGATATTAGAGCACACGCTGCCAGCAATCTCAATGTCTTTGCTTTGTCCTGTGCATTGTGCCAGGACTAGTTCAAGAATCGATGAGTTTGAATACCATTGACAAACCACTAAATCAAGACTAACAGGCAATCTCATAAGATTAAAAACTATCAAAATGACTGGAATGCTGAAATAGTGGTCCTATTGTTAGGTGGACCCAAGTCTACACAGGTTTACAAATGACCAATATCAGCTGTATTTATTGTGAATCAAGCTGTTTGGACATGTTATTACACACCTTGGCCCAGAAGAAGGCATGCTGTCACAGTGCAACAAGAACCCTCCAATATCATCTGTGTGCTGCATCATTTTACAGCATTGTAAGGGGATAACCTTCACATAGAGAACATTAGCAGAGCAAGAAAAGATGCCTAGAGAGGAAAATGAACCGGATTAAGCTAATACACAGCCAGGAAGACAGTCACATCAATCATTGAAAGATAAGACATCCACTTAAAAGCTGCATTTGTGACACTGCCTGAATATACCTAAGGCCTCCTTTCAAACGTACTACCCCTTAACAATGTGCAGCACCTAATCATGATTACCTTTATTGCCATACCAGTCTGCATCCTGCAGCTTTATTATGTCCCTTCAGATAATGAATTTGCAATTTAATTTCCAATCATTTTATTTTCCTGTGTAAATTGTTTGTGTGCGTGCACGCATGCATGTGTATGTGCGTGCATGTGTGTGTCTGTGTATGTGTTTAAATGTTTTAATCCTTGGTAATTCCTTTTTGTGAAACTGTCAGGTAATATTAACATTGTTGTCTTGTATTCCTTCCTGGTACCACATTAACGGGAGGAACTTAAGGCTTTGTATTTGGATCCATGTGATTTTGCTTTCTACCCTTGCTTAATTCATTAGGGCTCGTCCTTATCTCCCTATCCAGAAGTCCAGATGTACCATCCTTACAAGTGCTTGCTTGTTTTTGTTTTTTGTTTGAGAACCAATGTGCTATTCATTGCATCTCATCTTGAGAGCTAATAATTTCTTACCTTCTTTTAGGATACCTAAAAGGAGGAGATGTGCTGCGGTTACTGCATGGACACATGGATGAATGTTTGACTGTGCCTTCAGGAGAACTCGGAGAAGAACAGCGGAGGTAACTAAGGTGGCAAAAATAATTATGGAACTGGGTGACATACGCAGTGGGGGAACCGTGTGGAGAACTGAAAATTCCTGACGTTTGACAGAGTTAGAATGATGCAATGCTACTGGCTGTTTGCAAGGAGCTACCAACTCATCAAATAACTTTAATGGCTGTGTTAAGTGTTTATTTGTTCAAAAGATAGATGTGCCATGATTTTGACTACAATAAATGTGAGTGTAGGTTGTTACTCTGTGCGGATCCAGTAGCTTTAAATTTCAAGAGCAAGGTACTTGTGTTGTTCTGAAGAAGAGTCACATTGAACTTGAAACATTAACTCTGTTTTTCTCTCCCCTGATGCTGCCAGACTCACTGAGTTTGTCCAGCATCTTCTGTTTTTATTTTACTTTAAATTGGAGCTAGCAGTATTTGGAGATTCACAGTTCACACTGTGGGATAGATTTTTCAGAGCCTGTTGAAGTGGTCATGATGGCGGTGGGGGTGCTGTGAGAATTGGGTGTGAGAACCTAACTCCAATTCTTCCAATTGGGAAAACTGACCTCAATCAGGTCTGTGTTCGGGCCTGCAAAGTGAATCCCACTCACTGATGGCTGGGTAGATTGCCAACTGGGCTTGTTAATGAGTCATATAAAGGCAATTATGCTTGAGCCAAGTGGATGTTAGTGTTGAAGGGGAGACGATGGTATAGTGTCATTGGGCTGGTAATACAGAAACCTAAGTAATGCTGTTGGTGCCAGATTTGAATTCCACCACAGCAGATAGTGGACTTTGAATTAAAAACAAATCTAGACATTAGTGGTGATTCAGGAGTTTAATAGGACTAAGACTAGTCTCTAGCAGCTCCCGGAGCCCATCCAACAAACTCTTGGGTTCCCTGCAGTCAAGTGTATGTTTGGAGTAGGGTGAATCCCTCATTGTCAACCACTGTTTTCCGACTGAGGGGCCCTAGGGAAGAGGTTGGGTGGGCTGTTGAAACCCATGCCCCTTCCCCCTACCCTGGCCTGTGAATCCTCTGCCACCCTTCAATGGTGACTCTTTGTGGTTTTCTCCATTCCACTCACCACAATCACCACACCCCTAGCATTCAGCATCATTCCTCTGGTTAGGCGTCACAGTATTACTGGGAGCTCTGAGTGCTGCTACTGGTACTGGAGAGCAATCGGTCTGAGAGCAACCACTGGGAAAGATCCACATTGCTGTGACTTAATTCCGCCCTGTTTCTTTTCCCCAATTGATTTTCCGAGCTGACTTGTATGTTAAAAGCAACATATGTCAATTTGGCATAAGTTGAAGATAGTGAAGGTGTGATAATAGAAGATTTTGAATATGTGAGGGTGAAAATTTTAAGTTGGGGTTCTTCAGGGAACTGAGGATGAATGCAGGTCAGCAAGCATAGGTGTGATGCCTGAATGAGGTATGGTGCCAGAGTTGATACGTATAGCTGAATTCTGAATGAGTTTAAGTTTATGGAGGTTAGGAACTGTAAAGGAAAAGGTTTAGCATAATCAAGTCTGAAGATAACAAAGACATTGATGAGAGATTCCGTGATGGATGGGTTGTGGCATGGGTGGAAGTGGACAATGTTTATGAGGGGATAAAGAATCAAACACTTGCCTCAATATCATATGGGATGCTGAATTTTCAAACAGTCTGGTACAATCTCAGATGAGATCTGAAGCAGAAAATTAAATCAGGGATGAGTCAACAGATTGTGCAACTGGGACTAATGATGGTGGCTTTAGGCGTCCTGTTGTACAATTGGAGGAAATTATGACTGCACCAAGACAGGAATTTAGGAAGAAACTCTGACAACCCAGAGATAGATTGAGAAGGATATTTTACATATGCAACCTCCAACTTGATCCCGTGTCTTCAATTGATGCTGTCACGGACAGAATATAGATGATGAAGAGAAACAAGGCTAGGAGCAGGTCCCTGGAGAACTCCGGAGGTAATGGTACAGGAGCTTGAAGAGAATCAATTGTGGGAAATGCCCTGGAAATCACTTACAGTTGGATGATCAAGGTGAGGCCGAGTAGGAGGATGGTGTGGTTAACTGTGGTAAAGGCTGCAGGGATACTGCACCATGATCATAGTCATTAAAAAGTTGTAATTTGTCAATTTGATTAGGGCCTTTTCAGTACTAAGGCAGGTTTGTTGAAATTAAGACTCAGACTTAAGGTTGGGAGGAAAACATTGTTCAGGCAAGAGGGTAAGAAGATTGAAAATGTAGGTGGCAGTTTGCAAAGACAGGGGGGTCAACTGTGGATAATTTGAAGATGATGTGTTTTAGAAAAGGAAAGCCTGAATAGATTATAGATATTTTCTAGTTAACCTGTTCAGAGCTGAAATTATGCAGTGCCACAAGAGCCCTCTGAATAGTGTACCATCGGATGGCATGGGCAGTAGAAAAGGAAATTGAGTGGCCAATTGTTTTGGTGGAAAAGTTCAAGGAATCAGGTGATGGGTCTCACCAACAAAGTGATCTTAGAGAGAGAAAGAAGGGAGATTGGTTAGGGACTGCAGTAAGACTCAGGGAAATTGGTGTATTGCAGATTTGGCGATGTCAGGAGGCACCTTTGGGGAAGTTTGGCTTTTTAAGTGAGTGGCATCAGAACCAAAGCAAAGGCAGTTAAATGCGTGGCTTCAAATTTTGCATGTTAAACCCACATCCACATTTTCTTATTTAAATGTTTTAAATGTTATGTTCCAGGTTGCAGTCTCTGTGAACAAGTTAAAGGTCTGACATTATATTTTAACTACATGCTTGCCACCTTTTAATGTCAAATTCGTGCAGCCAGATAGAAGTTGATATGGTTAACTGACAAGTTAAAACTTAAGAAATGAGACAGGGGTCGATGTAATGCAGGGCTATTGCACTTTGTCTATGTGTCCATTAGCCTGCAAACAAAAACTAGCGAAGAGAAACAAAACAGACAAGATTAAGTTAACCAAAAACTTCTTCCTGTTACTCGCTGAAATTACCTGAGTTCAACATTGTTTTCCAGTCTCTGGATTCATTAGATAAATTCATTATCTGGAGTGAAACCAACTGAGTTTGAATAAACATTTGGGCAAGTTTTCACAATGTAGTTATTGTAAGCAACTTGTTCAGACATATAACATACATCCGGGGCAGGTGGCCTTCAAACCTCTTGGCTACACCACCACTGCACTGCAAGAGCTCTCCTGGTCACAATGTAGATATTTTCTAATCGACTTGGTTACAGGTGTTATTCACACCTTTAAAGCAGCTGGATCTTGAATCCAGTTCTCCTGGCCCAGAGGTAGAGACACTACTACTGTGCCACACGGTCCCATTGTCACGATGTATATAATAGGTCACAATTGTTATCAGATTTTGCATGTGATGTGAAAATAGATGTAAAGCTGTGAGAAGGGAACAGGGGATTGGGAATATCAACATGATGTTGAAGTGAGACACCTCTGAAGTGAAATCGATAAGAATCAAATGGACTCCTTAAATGTCACCCTGTGGATTTTCTCACTCAATTAATTATCCAGCTGGTTCCGGGATAATCCAGATTGTAGGCATTCAGAGGAGTTCACTGCAGCAGACCAATTACATTGCTAATTCATACTCTTAATTGAATGTTATGATTCAATTTGATCTGTTTTCCTGGCTTGCTACTCTTCCTCGTTAATGTATAATGATAACATTTTATCAAAGAACATCATGAAGTCTTGATGAAGCATCAAGACGAGTTTGATTAGTGTATGTTTTGTCTTTTAGATCCCGTTTGAATTAAATCAGATATACTGTGAGGAATTTTCAGGGAACTAAGTATCAAGCTTTAGGTTAATGTTGTTCTTGTTTAAACATTTAATCTTTGTGTGTGACAACGCAAACTAGTCAGCAAGTTATTGCTAGCCAATAAAAACAAACTAAGAATATACTGGTGATTAGAAATAAATTAAAAAAAATGAATCTATTTTAATGAGCTTGGTTTAAATCGAATTTAAATAGAATTCACACTACGAAAATGTGTGCTTTGCGCAATATATTACAAATCCACTTGTGATTATTTCTTTAACATAGTGTTCAGTGAATTGAGAATACTCTGTGTTAAGAATCTTGAACTTGGTCTCATGAAGCTTTATCACATCTCATTGTACCTCTAGGTATGCCTCATTGCAAAATAGTGGGTTCTAAGCAGTCAGTCAGCCTTCTCATGCCCAAATAGATGACAGCATTATTGGGCAGAATCGTAAGAGATCTGTATTGGCAGGGATGGACACAGGACTGGGAGGGAAGTCCAGAAGGTTGTCTTGGGGTTGGTGGCAGAAGTTCCTGCCTGCAGACGATCTTGCTGGAGGTGGAGACTGTAAAGGCTGCAGATGCTGGGAGCTAGAATCAATAAGTATGGAGCTGGAAAAGCACAGCTGGTCAGACAGCATCCGTGGAGCAGGAAGGTGAATGTTTCGGGCCAAAACCCTACATCGGGACCAGCTGGAAGTGGGCAAGTAATGGACATGGCTATCTGTCCAGCAGTGGCTGGCAATTTGTTAGTTGCAATTAACTGGGCACTTGGGATAGGCCCACCTCTGCATGTGAAACCTGGCAGGTCACCTGCAGGAGATGCAGCCTGCTAGTGGTAGACTACGGAGAACACAAAGTCTGCTTTGTGTATCCCTTTTCCCTCAAGCCCCTATTGCCCAAAGCCTGCAACGACTTGGCATCTGCGATGACAAATATTTGGAATAATTTCATGTAATCTTCTGAGGTGCCACCTATAGCATAGCCTATCACTATGGCTGGGGCTGCTAGTAGGACATTGCTTTCAGAGGTGGATCATTATTGCCTGCCTTCAGTTAAATCATGCTGACAGGTGGCAAGGCACCACCAATAGTATCAGGACCTGCCTTTGCTCCCAACTATGGAAAATCTTCAAAGGCAATAGTGTACAGCCCAAGGTTTTTGCTCTGATCTTGTCACCTCTGTCAGTGAAACAAATGAACAGCTCCTCCACCGT